AATTCTAAATTTTTCCCAAGATGTCCACAAAATTTTTTTTACAAATACACTTACATGTATAGTAGAACAATATACATAATCAAAATGTCCATCAAAAAAAAAAAGGATAAGTGAAGACATATTGCTGTAGTAAAAATATAACCATTAAAAAAATCAAATATTCAAAGACCATTATCATCATTTAGAAAAAATGTTTACAGCATAGCATTAGATGGGGGGAGGGAAAAGCATGTAACATACCATTTAAATAACTTTTTAAAGAAGGTAAGAATATATCTGTGAAATATTGGAAAGAAATACCTAAAATGTTAATATTGAATTGTTGCTTGGTTATTGGATTATTAGAGATTGTTGTTATCTTCTTGATAATTTCTGTATTTTCCAGACTTTGAATAGTGATTAGTTATGACTCTTTTTATTTGAAAAAGAGTGATTTTTTTTTAATTTTTGTGTTCTTATTTGTATTTTTCCCCATCGCTATCCCTTTTATACCTTTGACAGATGCTATACCCCAAACTCAGTAATCTAATTTCATAGAAAAAGGAATGTCCCCTCACTTTTTTCTGCTTTGTCTCTTGACTTGCTTTGCCAGACATAATTGCTTTGAACTCCTTCTAACTTGCTATAAGTGGCAACATTTCTTCTTTCCTAATGACTGAATAATATTCCATTGTCTGGCTATACCACTATACCACTTCTTTTTAAAAAATATTTTAAAATTAATTTTTAACTGAGGTAAAACTGGGGTCCCTCCATCAGGTATTACCACCATAGTTCACTCACCACCCACTCACCCATATTCCAATACAATAGACCATCGTGCTTCCTTCCCTTTTTTGCTCTCTGCCCTCTCCCGCCACTCCCCCCTTGGTGTTTCAGTTCTGTTGTCAGCTATCAAGGATTAGTTTTTTGGCCTGTCTTTAACAGTGATAAATTTTTAAAAAGAAATTGTCTCATGTAGAGTGAGAACAAAAGTAAGAGCAGTCTCTTAGGAGGAATCTAGCCCAGCCGCAGCCTAGCCTCTGTGGGATGCCCATGAGAGGCGGTAGAGCTGATGACAAAGAATTAGAGTGAATGAGAAGGTTCTTTTCACTTGATGCTACTTTCCTGCTGTGTTTGAAAATCATGAACTATAGGATGGGGAAATGAAGCTGAGTTCACAGTTTAAATGAGATCTTCTTTAGTGCTTTTTGGCTGAAAGCACACTTGTAGAATCCTCCAGCCCTGCCCTCTATAATACCAACCCTACAGACTGCACTCATGATGAGAGACTTTTGGACAGATGATGTACTCATTCTGGCCAGGGGGACACCACCCAGTGTCAATGCTTCCATGGAGTGGTTTCAAAGCCTCCTCTGGCCAATGCACTGGGTGTCCAATAGAAGGTGGAGCAGCATCTTTTTGTGGGCAATGAGATGGCTCAAATCCATCCTCCCTGACATACCTCAGTGAATCTCAGGTCAAATCTCTCTTAAAATAAAATTAGAAGCCAGGTAGGCCTTTGGCCTAGAATCAAACCGTTCCAGATGTCCTGGAATTTTTATTGCACATGCTTTGGCTATTTAGGCAGAGAGCTAAAGATTTCAAATAAAAATCAATTAGAAAGACAAAAATATTAAAATAATAACAATGTTAATAGCGATATCAAAAGCCAAAATGCCAATGGTGGCCATAATTACGGCATTTTTTTAAATGAAAACCTTAATTCACTATGCATTTTTCTAAGTTACCCAAATCATTTGAATATGTCACCTCAGTTATTTTGACAGAATCTCAGAATCTCTTCTACATTAAACACACACACACACACACACACACACACAACACACCACTCAGTGGCAAGAGGAAGCGCTAAAGCTCTGATGAAAACCAGAAGCATCTTGAGTTAAAAACAAAACTCTAAAGTTTTCAGTGTGGTGTTTTCAAACTTCATTCTTGACAAGACTGTAGGGGATTTCATTATGAGAAATTATGAAGCTCCTATTATCATGAATTCTTAGCTTTGGTGGAATATGATGTGGCCTTATTACAAAATTCTCTCAAAAGAATAAAAAAACATTCAAAATTCTTACCAAAGGTAAGACGGAGGTTCGTAATTCTGTGCCACAAAAACTATAAACCTCTGGGGTTAAAAATAACCAAAGTGGTACAGGTGTTGCCTCTGTAAACCTGCTATGCTCATCATAGGTCTGCTTCCCATGGGTCAATGTGTCCAGGTTATGATCTTTTTTTTTTTTAGTTTTTTTTCTTTTTTTTTTTTTTTAAGATTTATTTATTTATTTATACAAGCACTGGGTACAGTCAGAAGCGTGGGAAGGTGAGAGAATTTACCAGAGCCAGAGCGGGGAACAGAATAGGCAGAGTGATGAAATACACTGATGAGGGGAGCAGTGGGCACAGCAGGAGAGGTCTGCGTGCCATGTGGGACCCTCGCCTGCGGCTGGGGATCGAACTGGCGCTGCAGAGGCTGCAGGCAGCTTCGCAGCCCAGCACTCAACCGCTGCGCCACCAGGGGAGGCCCTAGCTTATGATCTTTAGATCAGCTAAGCTCTGGAAATACTGTGGTGCCCCAAATTTGAATTATATCCTTCCTGTGCAATTAAACATTTTAAAAATGATAAAATGTAAAACTAAGATTAAAGAAGTTCAAGAAAGTTTAATTTTCCCTATGATGTCTATTTTGACATCTCTTTGATAATGCCTAAGGCCAAAATACATATAAAGTAAATATTTGTTACCCCTGCCTTGTTCATGGACCTATGAGGCCGCCCAGTGTGTGTCCCCAGCACTGTGAAGAGGTGGCGCTGACAGAGTGAAGTTCTGATTTGGTGGTTGCACACCTCACACTGCCATGCTATGCAGCCGGAGGTTAGAAATCAGGAGGTTGATCCCAGCCCAATTTCATATGTGAATTCAGGCAAACTTAGTGCTTTGAGGAGTCATTATCACATGACAGTTGAAACTGGCAACCTGTGACTAACAAGTCTCCCAAGTGAATGAACCTGGTACCTTTTCTCCTCTGGCCTTCTGCTTCCTACCAGATTCTGTTAAGTGGGGACTTGCAGCAATAGCCCATCCCTGTTGGGATGCAGCTTTTGAAACATGGTCCTAGTTCTCAACTTACTCCTTTGGTTGCACTGTTCTAACAGGCACGGCATCCCCCATATTTAACTTGGTTGTATCTTATCGTCACATCATTGGCCCAGCCAGCTCTTGGCTAAGTGAACATTTTCAGGACCTACTAGCCCAAGAGAATGAGCTGTTAGAAGTTGTAGCACTTTTGCAGCAAATCAACTTGTTATTCTATTCCACGACTCCTCGACTCACTCCTGATGTGAAGGGACTGTGCTAAGGTGAGGCGACAGGAACAGGAGTCTAGGCAGGAACCAAACTCTGGGACAGGCTGTGTCAAACTGACCAGTTAGCTGGCTTTCTCACACAATGGACACTGTGTGCTCTTCAGAGTATGGGTGTGGGTGCCAGAAATGCCATGTCCCAGGATGAAATTCAATCAGAAACTAGTGTCTACCCAGATATTGACAACAAAACTAGAGAACTAGGTACCAGGCAGTTCAGGCAAAGACTGGTGTCCATTTTTCTGTATGTGCTATGAAAGTGAGCAAACATAGCCCATTTTTATTTGAGGTCTTTACGATGCCTTTGGTCCCCATAAAGTATCCACTATATGGTTTTGGAGATTTACCAGTGAGAAGAATGATGTACCAAAAACAACAATGGTTAAAAGAATATGTAAAATAAAACATTAGTTCAGGAATCTCCAAAAAGGGTATATAATCTTATCATTCATTACTTCAGTAAATGTTTGAAACTTTTCCTGAAAATAAAAAGCAGAATTATATATCAAATCCTTAGGAAAGCATTAATCTTTCCAGCTTAAGCCTTTTAGTCTACTTTTAAATATTCTTTAATAAATTGATTTGAAGATCCCATCTTGGACAGTGTTTCTCCTCCCCATTCCTGCCCTGCTCCAAGATTAAAAGCATCCCTAGGTTTAGCACAGATGAGGCAAGGTAGCTCCCCAAAGCCCACGGGCAGACAGGACCATGAGCTAAAGAAACCATAGCTTTCCTATAGACACACCGTTTCCTATAGGCACACCGTTGGGGAAAAGAATTCTGTTGGGTAATTCCAAATACCGTATCTTAACCTAGGACTAGCCAGAATAGACCTAAACAACAGGGACCTGGAGGGAAAAATAAAGAGTGTCCTTCCAGGTTCACTGGTCACTGGTGACATGGTAGTGCTCATTTAAAGACCTGAGGTTAGAATGGGCAGAGTCATCTTGAAAAATCTTACTAACTGCTCCTTGCCTAAGCATGTCAGATGTTACCTAAGAATGTCAGGGAATTTTAAGTATCTGTAATTTTTTACTTCTCCCACTGCTTCGTTCTGTTATCTTATCCGTGAACATCTCTAAGTCCCTTTTCCTGTATCAGAGAGGGCTACCTCTTCTCTAGAAACTCTCCAGAGGTGTCATTGAAAAGTGGTTACCCCACCAGGACCTACATTTCCCAGACCCCTTTGCCGTTTGGTGTAGTCATGTGACTGAAGTTTAGCAAAAGGAATGTGTGTGGAAATGTGCTGCACCTTCAGGCAAGGCCGATGGAAACCTCTCGTGCACTTCAGATTCGTCTACTGAGAAGTGGAGACAATCCTCAGTGACTTTGAAAGCCATCTGCTACAGAAGGTGGAGCCTCTCTCAATCTGCATCTCTTCATGAAGGTATGAAAGTTGTGCCACTAAGCTGCAGTGTTATATGAGCAAGAAATAAACTTCTATTGTGTTGGTCGTTATACATTTTTTATTCAATTACAGCAAGTAGCCTATCTCAACCATGTGTATTTTCTTTGATACAGCTGTTATTATTGTGTGCACAAGTCTGGGTGCCTTCTCCCCTTTCCTTAAATGTTACCACAAACCAAAGAAGCAGAAAAAATAAATATAAATTTAAGCAACAGATAGGGACAAATACCACTCACCAAATTAGTGGTCACAGTATTTAGATCTTGTAGCCAGAAGAACAGTAGTTCAGAAGAAGGTCACTCCAAGACAACCTGATATATTAAAATAAAACAAAAAGTCAAACGTAAGACTTATAAAACATATCACGTGAAGGTTAATTTCTAAAGGATGTTGCCAGTTTACAAAAGAATTAGTCACTATTTTCCAGTAAATGACAAATTTCCCTATTGCTTTAAAAATAAGATTTATTTTAAAAATTTATCCCCCTTCCAATTATTATAATTTATAAAGACTTTATAAAGAACAATTCTGCTCTGCTACGTAAGCTATGCAGGACTAAATATGAACTCTGTGGATGACCTCGGCAGCCAGAAATATAGGGTATGTTTTCGAGGCCTATGTGCTCTGCAGTTCTTTCGTGCATGTTCAAACTTTCCTCTTGCGAACTTGTTTCTTAGGTAGGAAATTCCAGTTTATAAAATTACAGGCTACGAAAAAAAACTTTAGGTTTTTTAGATGAAGTTAAAATAGACACGAGAGATACATTATAATCTGTCTTTGTGTCAAATACCCTCCCAGATACACCACCACTCCTGGAAATAAAAATAAGTTCTCTGTAAACAGGGTGAAGATGAGACAATGGAGGTGAGCGCACCAGAACAGCTGAGAACCTCCGTAATGGCAGTCGAGTTGGGGACATTTTCTTACCAGAGCAATCATCTGTTACTAGGTTAAGGGTAAAAATACCATTTGACAGTACAGGGAATATATTTGCCAAGGAGAGTGTGTTTGTGTGTCTGATTACTCAGTATAAGATCCAGGAAGCAAACAGCTCAGAACTCTGAGCAAACATTCTGACAGTCCGCAACAGAGCATTAGGGCAGAAGGAGGAAGAAGAGACGAAACATGAGGGTTGACAGGGGAAGGCGCGACTTGGGCCATTTCCTCCAGGGTTTCAAACTTAGGATTTTTGTTGTCGCTGTTTATATTTTTTGAGAGGAAATGCCTTCTTGCCTGGTCCTGTGGAAAAGAGAGCGATTAGATCCCTTTGGCGCTGTGCTCGGAGGGTCTCCGCGTGCAACCCACACCCTCCCTCTGGGCCGGGCCCTGCTGAGCCGCAGGTGTCAGGGAACAAGATGGCGCCCCACAGTGAGGGCGCGGAGCGAGGGGGGCAGGGTGGGCCTTCACTTACTCGGAGGTGCTGGCTCCTCTGAAACCCAGATGCTGCCAACTCCCTGGGCTCAGGAGTTAAAACCGCTCTCTCCACTTCTTCACTTCTCGTCGAGATCAGCACCACATATTTTTCTGATAATGTCACCCATGCTGACTTCTTACATTTTGAAAGTTGATCTACAAGTAAAACCTTCCATGAAGCACACACAAAAAGCAAAAAAAAAAAAAAAAAAAAAAAAAAAGAAAAGAAAAGAAAGGTGTGCTGTGGGGAGATGGAGAGGCGAGAGGCAGGGGCCTCCTTATTTTGAGAACTGCTGCAGCTGCGAGTGCCACTCCCCAGCCGGCTTCCTGGCTGCAGAGGGAGGCCAGTGGCCAGGCGTGGGTGACGTCAGGGCCAGGCCTGAGTCATCGCCAGCGGCTGGGCTGTCCTGCCACTCGGAAGGGGACAAAAGGAACCTTTGATGTCCAGAGGCCCTCCTCTCGGCACACTCGCCTGTTCTGAGCAGCAGGCCAGGAGAACATTCCTGCAGTCTCCCCACCCCCCGGCCGCCCTTCCTACTTCCGGAACAGTCCCAGGCAGATTCTGCAAGGCCTCCCCAAGGGACGTGACCCCTCTTGCATGGCAAAGGCATGGCGTTCTCTGTCAAAAAGAAAAGCAGGGAGGGTGTTTCGCTAGGGATTTCTCACCTACCCCTCCGGCATTCCTCTTCTTCCTTATGGTGCCGCTTACCCAGGGACTCGAAGTGATCGTGAAAGGGAAGAGCGGAAGGCACTCTTGTCACACCCCCCTCCAGGGGCAGCACCCAGTGGTCAGTGTCTGTTATCCTCTGCCTTTGTGCAATGGCCTGGGCCTCAGCTCCTGCTCTTCCTGAGCTTAACAGGTTATCACTCTTTAAAAAATATATACCAGAGCCTGGCAGAGGGCTCAGTAAATACATAAGGAATGAGTAAATAATAATATGAATGAATAATAAAAATATTTTAAAATAGTAGGAAATATCTATTGAATAATGACAGTGAATGTTTGAAGTCTGTGCTAAGTGATCATTTCATTTATTGCTATTAGCACAACATGGTTATGAGGTAGGTATTATTATTCTTTGGAGTTTTACAGGTGAGGAAATGGATTCTCAGAAAGATTAAGGTACTTCTCTGGCGTCCCACAGCTAGTTAGTGGCATAAGCTGGATCACCTGGCCTCAAATCTTGTATTTTTAAGCATTATGCTGAGTGACTGGAAGAAATGAACAAATATTAACCAAAGGCAGCCTGTCCAGGAGAGGAGCGATAAGGCTAATAATGACACTAGTAACCAAATCCTACAAGGAAACAGTGGCGTAATTAGGGGTGTACTGTCAACTTGGTGACCTAGGGTAGTAGGCCTCACGACCTCTTGATGGCTCAACACCAGGTCCGAGGCTAGGCAGCATACCAGGGTCTGCTTTAAGGCCAAGTGGGCTTGAAAAGCTAGAACCAGAAGACACAGCAGAGAGATCTGCATGGTGGATGCAGAGTCCACAGTGAACAGAGCACCTCAGAGGAAAACTGGTCTTACTGACCTCTGGCCTCAAGGGTGCAGGTGGGAGTGCCAGTGAAGCTAAAAGCACAAGCCCAGGCCAGACAAGCAGGTTAGGGGAAGGTTACTCGAAACCTAGAGAAGAAGGCTGAATACTGTGTGGTTTCAAAGCACCAAGAGGTGCTGGAGGTCGCAGGAGGGGCTGGACCTGACAATGACTGTCACCTCTGCTCTTAGCACTGCCTCACAAAAATCAGTGGCCATTCTGGGATGAGTGAGAGCCCTGTCAGTGCTTGTATTCAAGTCATGGTGGGGGAGGGGGCCAGAGGAGGAGCGTTTCTGATAGGGGTGTCTGGACCCAGGGTAAGGATGACCTCAGAGGTGCCATCTCTCTTTGTGACTGGTGATTCTGTGGTTTGTACTTTTCCACAATTCTCCCAAGGTGAATGTCTTATTCCAAGAAACAGACAAAAGCCAGGAATGCCCAGTCCCATGAAGAGGGGAGGGAGGTGTGGTTCAATAATTCCACCCTCTCTCAGCTATCCTTCCCACTGTGGGATGGGGTGTCTGGCCATAGGGACCCTTCTCTGTGGCTTTGGAAATCAATGCTTCTGATAGCTGGGGACATTGTGCAGTTACCTTGTTCCTGGGAGCACAGCCAGTTGCTACTCAGGGTTTACAACTTATGCTGTGGGGTATGAATCCCCAGGCAGGTGGAATTAGCAGAGGTGAACTTCAGAAAGGAGAAAGCCACATGCTTTTAATCAAGGGAACAACAACAACTAATCAGTTACTGTCCACGTCCACACTGAGCCTGACCTTGGGCAGAGGAAAGTTCTTTAAGTTCCAGGCATTTTTGGCAGAGAGCTTATTTATTCTTTCCTTTTCTCTGCAGAAAATGCCTCTGGTCACCTCCCCATTTTTTCCCCCAAAGGGTACATAAATACATAGGTATTTATTTCTTTAATAAGATGAATAAAGGCTGGTTCTTAATTCAGCCTACCTTGTGGGGCCAGGAAAATGTGAACAGAAAAAGATCAGAGGGGAGAATGGAGCTTCAGTGAGACACAGAATTGCATTCAGTGAGACACAGCCCTTGCATTCTGAGCTCTGGGGTAGATTCTACCAGTGAGAATAAAACTAGAGCAATGGGAAAAACATTTATTTGGGGACACAAATGACACGCCTTAGCCTACTCCATCTGCTGAACCTATTTCCTTTGCTACAATAAATACTGTTATCTGCTGGGAATTTAAAAAAATATGAAAACCTTTATGGGATGAAAGACTCCTTGGAAGACTCGTCTATCCTCATCCCTCTGTTTTCTCTCATCTTACATGCTTTTAAAAAATTATGTTAAAATAACATTTATATGTCATAAAGTTAACCCATGTAAAGGCATATAATTCAATGGATTTTGGTTTATTTACAGAAGTGGGTGACTAATTTTGGTATATTTACAGAATTGGGTGACTAATTTTAGAACATTGCATCTCACACCCAAAAGAAACCTTGTATTACTAACAATATTACTACTCATTTTTTCCCAATCCCCAGCCACAGACAATAGTTATTCTTCCTTCTGTCTTTATGGAGTTGCCTCTTCTGGACACTTAATATAAAATGAAATAACACAGTATGTAGTCCTTTATGTCTTACTTCTTTCACCAGTCTGTTTTCAGGTTTCATCCATGTTGTAGACTATACCATTACCTCATTCCTATTTATGCCCAAATAATATTCCATTGTGTGGATATACTACAGTTTTATCAGTTGGTGAACAATTGAGGTTGTTTTTTCCTTTCATTTTCACTCTTATATATAAGAACATTCAAGTACAAGTTCTTATGTTGGCATATTTTCATGTGCTTGTATAGATATCAATGAATGGAATTATTAGGCCATAAGGTAATTCTATGTTTAACATTTTGAGAAACTGTGAAAATGTTTTTCCAAAGTTCTGTACCATTTTACATCCTTACCAGTGATGTGTGAGGGTTTTTATTTTTTCACATCCTTACCAGCACTCTTATGACTCTAAATTTTCTTATTCTAATTATCCTAGTAGTTGTGAGACATAATTTTGATTTGCATTTTCCTAATGACTATTGATGTTGAACATCTTCTCATGAACTCACTGGGCATTTGTATATCTTCTTTGGACAATTGTCTGCTCAAATCCTCTGCTTTCAAATTGAGTTGTCTTTTTATTTTTCAGTTGTAGAGGTTATTGATAGATTCTATATACAAATCCCTTAATAAATATTCATTTTATAAATACCATCTCCCTGTTTGTGGATTGTTTTTTTACTTCTTTGATTACATCCTATGAAGGATAAAAGTTTTAAATTTTGGTGGAGTAAGGCTTATCAATTTTCTCTTATTTATTTACTTGTAATATTTTTGTAATTAATCTAAGGCGTGTAGATTTACACTTGACTTTTCTTCTAGGAGTTTTATAGTTTTAGTTCTTACAATTATGTCTATGATCCATTTTAAGTTTAATTTTATAATGTGAGGTAGGGATCCAAATTCTTTTCATGTGCATTTCAAGTCTGTACATCTATAACTGTTATAAAATAAAAGGTTTATTTAAAAATATATTCTTAATATTTTATTCTTAATGGATATCATTATATAGGAAATAATTTTTGCTCATAAACTTAAAAGAGTTTGTACTTTGGAGATTGGAAGATCTAACTTTTAATCCTGGCTCCACTATTTATTAGCTGTATGACCTTAAGATTGCTTAACTTATTTCACCCTCCCTTTTTTTTTTTTCAACCTGAGCAAAGGAAATAATAATACCACCTCATGGAGCTGTTATGCAGATAAAATAGGATAATGCTATGTAACCCTATAGAGTCCATGACTCCCATGGACTAGACTCAGGGTGGTGCTGACATCCAAGATACCTAGTCCAATCATCAAAAAGTAATTTTAAGTTCAGTCACATATTCAAATACCCTCGTTTTCAAATACCATACAAAGCTCCCTGCAATACTTTGTAACATCCTTTTATTCTCTCCTGTTTAAGCCCCTTCTACCCCACAACTTCAGCTCACAATTCTTTCTTCAAGCTCTTTACAAAGCTTTATCTCCAGCCCTAAATTATGTCCCCCTAGTTTTTCTACTTCTGTCCACTTCTCCTGACAGGGCAAGGGCAGAAACTGGACAGGCAAAGCCAGAACTCCCTTTAATGAGCAGGAAGAAAATACTATCAGGGAGTATTCAATTTGTGGTCCATAACTCCTGTAATGAACTTAGTGCAATGTCTGCTATAAGAAGGCTCAATAAATACTGCATTTTTCTTTTTTTTTTTTTTTTTTTTGTGGTGATGGTGGTGGTTACATTATGATCCATATATATTTTTGAGTTAATTATGTTAATATATATTAATAGGTCCCATGACCTCTGAGAATCTAGACTAAAGGCTACTGCCCAAGGGCCTGTCCTCATTCTTTTTTTTTTTTTTTTTTTTTTTTTTTTTAATAGAGGCATGCTTTATTTATTTGTTTGCTGGTTTGTTTGTTTGTTTTGTTTATACATGCACTGGGTACAGTCCGAAGTGCGGGAGGGAGGGTGAGAGAATTCACCAGAGCCAGAGCGGGGAGCAGAGCAGACAGAAGGACCGAAGGACACTGCTGAGGGGAGCAGCGGGCGGCAGGAGAGGTCTGCACGCCATGTGGGATCCTCCTCCGGTGGCCGGGGAGCAGCCGGGGATCGAACCGGCGCCGCAGAGGCCGCGCGCAGTTTCGCAACCCAGCGCTCAACCGCTGCGCCACCGGGGAGGCCCTGTCCTCATTCATTTAGGTGAATTTGACATTGTTGTTTTCTTTCCTTCTGAATCATTCCTCAGAGAATTACCCCTGAAAATCTATATAAGGCTTATTTCTGAAGCTCTTTGAGTAATGTTCGGGCCTCTCTCCTGTTTCCATTCCCCTTCTAGC